CCGCGGACCTCGAATATCGAATATCCAACTTGAAACTAACTTCACTGCGGTGCCACGTAAAGAAAGACGACAGAAACAAGAGGATCCGATGGAAGCAGCAAAGGCCGTCTTCCTTCGCCCGCCAAGGTCTCGCCGCACCGATCCACGTCACCTTTTTCTCCCAGCTCACCATCCATTCTCCCTCCATTTCTCCACCGCCGCTCTCGCATCGTCTTCACACCGTTGCCACGCGATGAGTCAGCCACGTCAACAGCTTCTCTCTTCCGCATGCCGCCATGGTCAGCACCTTTCCGGATTTCCCTCTCTACGCCCGTCTCGGGCTGTCGGGGTAAGACGTAGCATTCACATGTCTCATTCGCATTATTACGAACCGCATTTCAATTAGCTTATTCTCTCCTGAACTCGTAGGCCACTCAGGCTGCGCCCATTATGCTCGAGGGCTTTTAACTGCATGATGAAGAATCGATTTGTCGTGTTTGGGGAGGCGCTTATAAACGCCATACGAGCTCTAAGATTCTCTCACCGGGTTTTACTCCCGTGCGACAGCTAAAGAGACCTGCTGCGGCTGTCTCAGCTCCGTGTGTGTTCGAATTATGGCAGCAACCAGCAATTCGCAGAGCTTCGCACAGTTTCCTCAATTAACCGACTGAGTTGAGCAAAGCGTTGGAGGCAGGCTGTAAATGCCCGTTCCATGTTTTATATGCTGATTCTAAGTTGTTACCCATAGTACCCAGTAGGGGCGCTGTAGTTTGGTTCATGTTGAGTTAGTGCCTTCATTTAAAACTGTAAAATGAGAGGAAGTGTTGCTAGCCTCCTGTCAGTCAGCGCTTTGGGTTGAAATATAGAGGAAGAGGAGGATATTCTTCACCTTAATGACTCTGGACTGTAGCGCACATTCTTAAGAACAGGCTAAAGGCAGCACCGCACGGACTTAACCGCCATAAACTTTGCAGCCCTTGGACAGCGGAGCGAGGTACATGTTTAGAGCTCTATTGTGAAGTTAGCGTCATTATTATAATGTATTCATGTTTTGTGTCAAATAACAGCACTTAAGCAAAATGTATTTTATTCTCTTTAGTTTTCACGGTGTATTCGAAGCACGGTATGTTCAGTGCACTTCAACAACTTGGTTTGGAAAGAAGTAAATACGAAGTTACTGCACCCGTCGAAGCTCTCCGTGTTTTCTTGGGTCTGAGGGACTGCTACACAGGCAATGTTAAATAATAATGAAAGTTTATACAAATATAGCACCTTCAGCTCGTCGACTAGTGGCCTGTAGCCCGCTGATATGTTCTAAAGAGTGTAGGACCCTCGTTATTGAACGTTTTGGAAATGTCGTCATATGAGTAGTTTTACTGCAGTGTACCTTCTGCCCCCATAAGCCGATGCCCTCATGTTAAACTCGTCTGGAGTCGGGGGGCAGCCTAGAGGGATTACTCATTCATATATCAGCAGTCGTATGCGCACTCAGCTACTGAGAGCCGCGCAGCCCATTGTCTCGGGTGTCTCGGTTACCGCATTTTTATTTCAGCTCCATTATCAGCTAACTTGTCAACCAGAAGACTATGTTGTCATATTACCAATTGACTCTGCGCACGAGAACGTATTACTCATCCAGTAATTAGGAGTTTTGCCTCAGTTGCGAGGCGCCACACGCTGTTCAGTTGTTTGCCACGGATCGTGAAGTTGACTTAAAAATTCCTCCATGACAAATCTCGGTACAATCGTTCCAGACCTTTATCAATTAAACAAGCCATGAAATTCTCGCTTACATCATCCATTTCAGCAGCTCAAGTCCTCAGCATTTTCTAACTCGTTTCACTGCCATAACCCGTTCCGAGAGTAATTTCTGTAAGTGATCCCAGATCATCGCTCGCTATAAGTTGTTGTGTTTTAACTATAAGCCAAACCTCCACCATCTGTCTCATGTCTTCTATCGCCATCATTTAATTTAGCATACCTGCTTGTTGCGATCTGGTCATTTTAACACTATTGCAGATGAGCTGTCTCCCTGCCTGTGCTGTGTCCAGTCCTGCTATTAGACAAGTCACCCATTTCAAGCTTAATCTCATCCTGCCTGTATATTTCCTCAGTTTTTCATCCCCATTCTGAGTCTCTGCTTTTTCTTCATGCTCATCGTAGTTCCAAGCCCTGCATGCACGCAACCTTGAGGAGAGAAAAAAAAGTCTATGTTTTGACTATGTTCACCAGTCTCGAGGTATTCTCTTGGCCTTACGCTAACATCCAGCGCCAGACGAGCACTGCGCAATTCTCTGGTGGTGGTTGGTCAACCTCATGCAAGTGAATGTTGTCAATGTTTCGCATATCTTTCCCCTTTGTCCTTTACACCCTTAATTTCAGGTTTCATTCCAGTCTGTAACCCCCCAGCTGGCCTTCATCCTCCAGCCTGGCTCCGCGCCATCACAGTAACCCCCTCAAGCTGACCCGTACCCCCAGGCTGGCTCCGCGCCGCCTCAGGTGGCCCATGTCCCAGCTGTTCTTTGTCTATCCAGCGAGGCGCCTCTCCAGCCCGCACCTATCCTTTAGCCTTCCTCCAGGCTATTCTGCATCCCTACAAGCTGACCCGTATCCTCCAGCCAGGCTCCGCGCCGCCCCGTATCCCCATGGCTGGCCCTCATTCACCTGCCCGGCTCCGCGCCATCCCAGTAGCCCCTCAGCTGATCATGCTCACCTGCCTGGCCCTGCCATCACATTAACCACCAAGCTGTCCTGCATCCTCCTGCCCGGTCTCACTCTAGCTGCGTATCCCTCAGCTGGCTATTCACCAGCCTGGCATCATGTTATGGTTTATCACTGCTGGCCTCCATCCACCAAGTTCTTCCAAGTTTCCTTGTGTCATCTGTCACCTCAGATCGGTTCCTTCCATCAGTGCCTCACCTTTTCACGTGATCAACATCCCTATTGGCTGACCACTTGTATGCTATGCCTTTTCTTCCTCTCAGCATTCTCCTCCTCCTGTCCCTCAAGTCAACTCACAGGTTCAGAGTCCCACTATGGACTCTTTGCACCTCAGCTTCCGCGTTCGGGGTAAAGCGGCTCGATCGTTTCCGATCCAATACAAATATCATTTACATTAGGTGCTTGCAGGGCTTGGCCAAGGTTTGTACATCGATCCGAAGCCCCAACAAGTCAGCTGGAGAGAGGTTTTAAGATGTACGCCTAGTTATACATTCACTGACACAAAGGTGAGTTTTACTTAAATTTTGTGGCTAACGTTAACCTTAGCTTATGCTAGTAGGCAATATTCGTGGACATTGTTCTTGTAAAAATGTGCTATTTAAGTATCTAAACATTCTAACGCACAATGTATTTATCCAATTTCAAGTCGTTAGTGTCAGAGATTAACAGGGAGGTTACGGTTCGGGCTTTAGCTTCCGAAGCCTGATGAAGCTCAACAAGCCTCATAGCTTAACAGTAGCCCAGCTCTGGTGGCAGATCTACTTCAGCTGACCGTTCAGGTTCAAAGTTGCTGCTTTAGAGAAATATAACCGTGTTGCTTCATGTCTCTGTGTTATTTCGTTTTATTACCTTTGCATGTTGTGAAGAGCTCAGATAGGACGGTGTTTACAGCAGGATGTACAGACGGATCAGTTGCCCTTTCCCTCCTCTCACCTTAGGGCCCCGGCCTCAGCCCCTTTTGGGGGGGAGAGCATCCCTAATCAGAGTCGGGGGCGTTCACCCGAGATCACAGTTCAAATCTTCCGCCGGGGCTCGAGCACCAAAGAACTGTCATTCATTTCCTAAGAACCATTATTAATTTTGTCATTAAATCTTCAATCATTCATTTCTACGTCCGAGTTTTTTCGGCATGTCCCAGCATGGTGTAACCTGCACAAAATAAGAAACCGGTATTTTATTTTGGCGGGTCAAACTGACAGCACCCTTTAAGTTCCGGGTCACATGTGACTCGGATCTCAATCGCTGTTGCTGCTGTCGCTGTGGCCAGCTGCTCGTCTCGGCGTCTTCTAAACTTATAGAAGAATACGGCTGGATCGAGGCTTACTTAAAGGGCCGAAGGGTTAAATTGGGTGTTTCCTGTCGACCGCTCGACGGTGAGTCGTTTAATTTACGTACTTTGTTTTCTTTGGAAATAGAAATGCGGTGGCGACACGCCCACTTAATAGGTGCATTAACGACTGAAAAGTTAATTTATTGATTTAAAAGGTCATTTTCTTTTTGTAATTTTGTGGCCGAATAGATTATACATTGTTAAAATATTAAATAGGCCTTTTGATTTTTGTAGATTCGTCCTTTTAGGACAGTTTATTTTTTTATTGATCGATTTTTGCTAACGGCCTATAGAACTCTGGGCTTGGTCATTTGTTTTTTTATTGGGGAGTTGCGCAATGAAATAAAAGGAAAAAAAAACAATTGTTTATTGAAACGATATGGAAGTCAATTAAGTTTAATTGACTGTGTCAATTAAACTTAGATAATGTGAAAGTGCACTTTAATTTGATCTGTACCGGTAACTTTAATTTGATTTGTACCTTTGACCGGTAACTTTAATAAGGTCTATACCCTTGATTTGAATCTGAATGTAACTTTGAATTTGATCGCGATCTTTAATTGGAAATTCATTTGAAAAATTCATGAGAAAACACTCTATGGAATATAGTTATTTGTTTATTTTTTCGTAATTGTTGAATGTTTCTTTATTTTGGATAACAGTTTAACAATGTTTAAACATGACGGCTAATTTGTTTTATTTTTATTCATGACCTTGTTTAGGTCAGGTTTTTTTCCCCACCCCCTGTGTCACTTCAGGATGGCGAGCTACCGGATCACCGCAGCTTCGCGGTAGGATTTAAATGAACCAAGCTGTTTTCTCATTCTGGACCTATTTGCTCTGGATCATGGACAAAAAGGAAAAAAAAAACAATCAAATATTGACTGATGGACTATTGATCACTTTGGATTCATGAATGGACCAAAATAGAAACTCTTGGGTGACATCAGGGTTTATTGTTTTTTGTTGTTGAGTGTTTGTTTTTTCCTTGTTGTGTTTTTTGGTTATATTATAGAAAATCACTGTTATTATAAATATTATTATTATTGCATATCTTCATATATATATGAAAGAAAAAAAACAAGTTGAATACAATAACTTAAACATACTTTTGTCTAATGGTATTTTATTCACACCCACGGGCTCCATAGCCGAATCTATCCGAGCGCCATTTGTTATATTTGGCCGTAGTCAGGCGCCTAGCCTTAACTAGCGTTACAATGGCCTGCCCCTACGGCTGGCCCATGTCCTAGCCTTCCTCTCATTGTTGGCCCATGTCTCAGTTGTTCTTCGCTCATATTTTCAGCAGGGCTCCCTTACAGCAGGCACCTATCCTCCAGCCTGTCTCCAGGCGATCGTGTCCCCCTGAAACTGATCCCATCTCCTGCCTGGCTCCGTGCCTTCAACTATCCTTCACTCTTTTGCCTGGTATTTTTCAGCCTTTCTCTTAGCATGCCTTCATTCTTCGAATGGCCTTCATGATATTATGAAAATCCCTCTAGCAATCAAATTTGATTCCTCCTACCAGCTTCTCACCTTCTAGACTTCTGCACTCGTTTGGCGACTACCAGTACTGTGACGTTGCTCTCCGCACCCTCAAGCCAGCTCACAAGTTTTAGGTCCCCCCTTTTCTTTGGGCCCCGGCCTCAGCCCCTTTTTGGGGGGAGAGCATCCCTAATCGGTTATCGGGATGTTCATCGAGTGCACATCAACTCTCAGCTCAGATCAGCTGCCGGGGCCCGAGCGCCAAAGAAGTGTTATGCATTGCTGTCATTAAACCTTTTAATTGTTCCTTTTTCTTCGTCTGAGTCTTTCCATATATATATGAGTTGTCATGGTTTCAAAGTGTATTTAAAGCAGGTCTGGCTGCAGCTGCAGTCAACTACAACACATGCCCGTGTAAAACTCATTAACCTATTGAACAGCTAAGTCAGGATGCCATACAACTGTTAATAACGAAGTGTTTGACGATCTACACCGCCATCTTCCTCAGCGGTCCCACATGACTCTCAAAATATTTGTGTTGATAAATGAAGGTACAGAGCAGTCAGCTGATACAGAGCCTGGAAGGAAACATGGAGAGAAAAAACATCCGACTGAGTTTAAGATCCTGAGAAACTTTTAGAAAAACTTTGTTGATCAAATGTTCTGGTTCTGCTGGTTTGGACTCTTTAAACCAGTTTGACTGGATCAGATGTTAGAATCAGTTCATCATGTTTCTTTTACATTCAGGGAAATTAATTTTCTACATTTTTATTATTGTTTATATTTCAGTTTTAACTGCATCCTGTTGGCTTCAGCTCATCTTTTATTTTTTTTATTCAGATTGTGGAACTGCAGGTTGTCAGAGACCAGCTGGACGTCTCTGTTCTCAGCTCTGAAGTCCAAACCGACCCATCTTACTAATCTAGACCTGAACAGCACCAACCTGGGAGATTCTGGAGTGAAGGAGCTCTGTGGTTTTCTCCAGACTGAAGGCTACAGACTGGAGTATTTGGGGTATTTTAATTATATAATTATTGATATTTCAGTGAATAATTATCTATAATTGATCATTAATCAAAGATCATATCTTCTGTTCTAATAAATATTTTCTGAGTTTGTTCCTGGATCCAGAGTTTAATTTAGTCCCTCTGTGTAACTGAGTTGGACCTGCTGACCTGAGGTCAGAACAGGACAGCATTCGGACCCCCAGTGTGTAGAAATCCCCCTCATGTCAAGCAGGTCAAAGGTCAGATCAAAAACAGAGAGAATGAAAATCTCCCTTTATTGAAGTTCCTCAAATCTCACACTTAGTTTTAAATATTCTGCTATTAGTTGATAATCATCCAGTCCATGTGTTTTAATGTTTAACTAGAGCAGATTAAAGATGCTGGTTGTACTGAATAATTAG